AGTAAGATTGTATTGTTAAGAAATGTTGAAATATAAAGTTGAATTGAGTTGAATAGACATGAATAATCAAGAAATAAATTAAACAGGTAAGTCAATTCTAAATTGTATAGATGAAAGAAAATCAGAAAGTGGAGAAATTATTATGAGGGTCGGGTTTTAAAATCAAAAATAGAGGAGAAATGAGAGGGAATTGGCAAGGAATAAAATACACAGGATTCCAGATGACACTCTAAATTGTTTAGAAATGCAAGAAAATCAGACAGTTCATTCAAGTTTCAGAGAGATATGAGTGGAATAAACATTCATTAGCAAATTAACATTTTGAGTAAAGTTGTCTTGTTTTAAACATAAAATACAACACAAATTTAAATTTGTTATACATGTATATGTACAAGTATAATCAATGACTGATTTTTTAAAGGATGAACTTTTTGTTAGATATCATATCAAGCCTTTCAATATTTACAATAGTTTGGATATTTTTTGACAATTTTGATGATTTTTTAAATAGTTTGACTTGGATAAGTTATAGAAAAGGGACATCTGGATTGCCAAACTTATGGAGGGGAGTGTATACTTTAACACATATTCAATCTGTTTATTTATTTCCTCACTTTTTTCAACTTGGTTCATGATGGTGACATTTCTTGGGAATCACCAAATACATTTGGCTGATAAGGAATTGTGCAGTCAATAGTCAAAACTGTTGACTGTTGTGTCACCAATTTAAGTCAGGCATTTAAAATGAAGGCACTAACTATAGTGATACACCTTGAGCATATTGAAATCTTTATTTGAACGGAAACCATCAATATCTGATAAATCCATTATTTAACATATTTCACAATCCAGAAAAATCCAGGCCATAAAAGTTTAGGTGGTTACATTTTTAAATTAATAACAAAATAAGAAAGGTAAAAATCAGAACTAACAGAGTTAAAAAGCCAAAACATATTAAAATATCAGAATTTGTAACGCTTCATTCAAATACTTAAGAGAATTCAAATAAAATTGATGAGATGTCAGAATGATATTTTAAACAATGGAGATTCATTATTCTTTCATAAACTGTTTGCATCGTGCATAAATGTATATTTTCAATCAATAATTCCACTCAGCTTGTTATTGTTATTTCAATTAAGCCTTAATGAAAGCTTATGTAAAACTTCTGATGGCCTCTTATTCCTAGCCATGTGTCACATTTTTTATCCCTCACTCCCCCCCACCCCGCCTGTTATTGTTATTTCAATTAAGCCTTAATGAAAGCTTATGTAAAACTTCTGATGGCCTCTTATTCCCAGCCATGTATCACGCTTGTTATCCCTCATTACCCCCCCCCCACCCTGCCTGTTATTGTTATTTCAATTAAGCCTTAATGAAAGCTTATGTAAAACTTCTGATGGCCTCTTATTCCCAGCCATGTATCACGCTTGTTATCCCTCATTACCCCCCCCCCCCCCACCCTGCCTGTTATTGTTATTTCAATTAAGCCTTAATGAAAGCTTATGTAAAACTTCTGATGGCCTCTTATTCCCAGCCATGTATCACGCTTGTTATCCCTCATTACCCCCCCCCCACCCTGCCTGTTATTGTTATTTCAATTAAGCCTTAATGAAAGCTTATGTAAAACTTCTGATGGCCTCTTATTCCCAGCCATGTATCACGCTTGTTATCCCTCATTACCCCCCCCCCCCCCCCACCCTGCCTGTTATTGTTATTTCAATTAAAGAGAGAATCAGATATAGCGAGCAGGCCAAACAAAAAATGGTTTCATTTTTAGAATATTTTTGGCTCATGTCATTCCTTGTCATGTCTATTTTCTAAAAATCACAAAAGTGCATACTTTATTCCAGGAAAACTAAAGATTTTTACAATAATGTATTATTTTCCTATAAGAATGGTTACCATTCTTATTATTTGGGAGAATTTAAACATTTTTCACTCATTTTTGCACTTTGAATCATTAATAACTTCACCAATTTATAACATATTGTGAATCTTTTGGGAGATATTGTATTTGATATTGTAAGGAATAGATTGGTAGGTCAATTATACATGTTGCTTGTAATTTTGTCACCCCTTATAGATCAGATTCTGCCTTTAAGCCTTAATGAAAGCTTATGTAAAACTTCTGATGGCCTCTTATTCTTAGCCATGTATCATGCTTATTATCCCTCACATTTAAAGAAAAGGTTGAAATGTGAACACATGCTTATCTGACAACATACAATAATCAGCAATTATACAATAATCACCATTAATACAACTATCAGCAATAATTCAATAATACAATAATCATTATCAATATTAAAATAAGCATCATCAATGATATAATACAATGATAATATGATAATCATCAATAATACAATAATCATCAATAATACAACTATCAGCAATAATTCAATAATACAATAATCAGTATCAATATTAAAATAAGCATCATCAATGATATAATACAATGATAATATGATAATCATCAATAATACAATAATCATCAATAATACAATAGTCATCAATGATACAATAATCATCAATAATACAGTAATTAGGTTATGAACAAATTCTGATTATGTAAAACACACAAGGTAAATGCTATACTGGAATTCTCTGTTTAACATAGCGAATATAAAAAGGTGTGATTTTTCAATTGCTTCGAGATCTTTTTTGTGAATAATTATGATGCAATTAGCAATCAATTAACATAAACAAATCCCCAGTTGTCTTCATAATTGTTGCAATATAATTGCATTGTTGTAGTGCATTGCTCTTGATAATTGTTGTCATGTATTGCTCTTGATAATTGTATAATTATATTCTCATCTCAAAAATCATTGTAATTTCTTGTACTCAATAATTGTTGTTATATCCTCATGGCAAAATTGTCTTCATATCTTTGACTCAATAATTGTGGTAATACATTTCTCCTTCATCATCTTTGAAATGATAAAGTGTTAAGAAAGCAAGCAATATTTTGGTTTTCAACTAAATATTATTCTATAATGATGTTTAAGTACTCAATGTCCATACACAATTTTAAAAAATGTGATAAGGTAACATTTTCATGATCAAATATTTCACCGGTGATTCACTCGATTACGCTGGTTACCGAAACGGTTCGTTTTGGTAACAAAATGTCGGAACATCGAAGGTACGATCTTCGACGTTCCGACATTTTGTTACCAAAAAGAACCGTTTTGGTAACCAGTGTAATCGAGCAGATCACCAGTGTATTTGTAATTGAAATCATGAAAATACTCAACATGCAGAACTAGCTTATACCTTGCAAATCATGATATCAATATGTGGGCTGAGGAGCAGCTTCGATTTCCCTCTTCACATGCATTTCTTACACGTGAGGATAGTGTCATTAGAACTCTGCAATTAATGATTAAACTTACACTCCCCTCCATAAGTTTGGCAACCGAAAGTGTTCATTAGATAACATTTCAAAGCCTATCAAAGTTTGAATTGTTATATTTGTTCCCTGATAATTACAAAAGATTAAGATAAATTGGTAAAAGGGATCTAAAAGGGGACTTGTAGTTCTCATACTTATGGAGAGGGTGTACAATTTAAAAGGGGACTTGTAGTTGCTATACTTATGGAGAGGGTGTACAATCTAAAAGGGGACTTGTAGTTCCCATACTTATGGAGAGGAGTGTACAATCTAAAAGGGGACTTGTAGTTCCCATACTTATGGAGGGGAGTGTACAATCTAAAAGGGGACTTGTAGTTCACATACTTATGGAGGAAGTGTACAATCTAAAAGGGGGAGGGAGTGTACAATCTAAAAGGGGACTTGTAGTTGCCATACTTATGGAGAGGGTGTACAATTTAAAAGGGGACTTGTAGTTCCCATACTTATGTAGGGGGAGTGTACAATCTAAAAGTTTGTGAGTGCAGGCTCTGAGGTTACAGTTGCAATGCATTCTCACATGTATTTTTCACATGTGGACACGTGGATAAATAATAAAACACATTTGTTTTTATCTCATAATAAAAATCTGTTTCAAGTAGGTGGGGTTCCTGGTTTGATTTCACCAAGTTCAAGTACTTTCTCACATGTATTTTTCACATGTGAACACATGGACGAAACATATTTGGTGTTAAAGGAATAAGGAACAAAACGATGAAGAAATGGTTGATTAAATACCTTTGTCTGGAGATTCTCCGGAGTCTAATGCCTTTAGGCCCTCTTGCCCCAGAGTCTAAAGTGTTTTTTTCTGGAGTCTAATTTTACATTTTTGATTTGTGGTAAAACTCTTGAGAAAATGCATAAAACTGGACACATACATTTTTTAGAAATGTATATTGTGATAAAAATTGGAAGATAATCTTAAGAAGTATTTTGAAAAGTATACTAATATGATATCTCTGATCTCACATGGAGAGGGGTAGTAGCGTAGTAGTATCGGTAGCGATACCACGAAAAACCTGGAGAACCACGAAAACTTGAAGAACCTTGTGGTCTAACATCTTCTTTAGTGATTCTTAGTTTCAAGAAGGTGAACTCAAAGACCACTGAAACCCATACAAGTAAAAAGGTATGGGCATTTTTAGACCAAGTATAAAGAGATAATTTGGGAGTACATGTAATAGGCATGATTTTTTTAATTATTGCATTTTACATATTTTACACTCTCTTACTTCTGACCCCTTTAATGAGAAGCTTGAGGAACGCATTGACATTTTATACTAGCACCTTTATACTCACATGTTTTGCACACATGTGAAATGAAATGTCATTTAGGATGTTACCCATTTGGATTTAATCTAAGGTCCTTATCAATTAAATGTTTGTTTTACGGATGCTTGCTGCCACAGCCTTATATACAGGGTGGTCCAAAAATGGATACCCTGCATTTTCCTCATATCTTTGTCATTTTAGGTAATCACTCCCTGATATTTGACACATTTGTACATCATTCAATTTCCTACCAGCTTACCATATTCCATGACCATCAGATTGATAGTCACAATGGTACAGCACTTTGAGCAAGATGCCCCTGTGTGGCCACCATCGCGCTATTGGCAAATCTGAACAGGTTGTCAATGATCTAACTACATTTCTCAGCAGGTATGGCTTGAATGACATGGATGATCTCCTTTTTGAGGTCTGCCGTTGTCCTGAGGTTATTTTTGTACACTCTTTTTTGGTGTATCACCCCAGGGTTCAAGTTAGGTAGGGACATTTTGGATGATAGGTGCAGGTTTGACGAAAGTGCAATATTGGCCACAGGAGCATGTTGTTTAAGTGCTGTAACATAATGACTATCAATTGATAGTCATCAAATATGGTAGGCTGGTAATTTCCTCAAATGACAAAGATATGAGGATAATGGTGACAGGATTTCTGTTTTTTGACCACCCTGTATTATCACACTTGTCAACCATTTCCTTGCCTTACTTAAAGAGTTTATTCCCACATTTGAACATTTAAAGCCCAATATCCTAATAAGCAGACAATGATATTGATATACCCTTTTATGGGCATCTAATGACACTGATAAACCCATTTATGGAGTCTAGTATAAATTATGTAGAACTATTATTAGAGACACAAATAATTAGACATACACACTAGAGACACATATTTTTAAATTTGCAAAACTTGAATCTTGTACTTTCAACTTATGGAGGCAAATATGGTAAGTAATTCAATATTATTAGCAGGGCTTGCATTAACGGCGTCCCTTACATGTTAAGGACTCAAAAATAATTTGGAGGACGCAAAAATTGAAAATATTTCCATTTTTTGGACACAAATTTTTTTTAGGTCAATACTACAATGTGTTTACAACAATACCTAACAAAAACAAATAATTATGATCTCTCACCTTTATTTGAATCGTAAATGAAGGCTCAACATGTTCTCTCGAATTTTTTCGACTTTGTTTATTTTTAGATTTGAAACCATGACATGCCACAGTTTTTCCTATTCAGAAACAAATATTAGGTTATTCATGAAATAAAATGTATTCATTGTCGAATGAACGAACATGCATTTATTCAGTCCGTACTTAACGTTTACTTCCATTTTAAATTCGCGGCAAGAAATCAAAAACTGAAAATATGACAAGTAAGGTTAGAACATACATTCCCGAATGGGAAACAGAGTTCGATTGGTTACAGCCAGTTAGGAAAGAAAACTCAAATATTATTATCAGAATGAAGTGTCATTTGTACGCGATGTTCTAAAGGAAACAAATTTGCCCAGCCAAAAAAGGCTAGAAATAGGGGACACACTTTTTTTTCAAAGGACACCCTTTTTAAAAAAAATTGCGTCCTTGGGACTCACAAATTTTCTAACCTAATGCAAGCGCTGTATTAGATATGGGATTTATCTAAAGGATATGATATAAATCCAAACAATTTAACATCAAAAAGTGTTTCATTTAGGAGGTGTACCACATAGTTTCATTTCACATAAAGTTAATGAATAAAACTATGAAAAGTGTTCCTTTAGTTAATTGGGAATAGGACTTTAAGAAGTGTTCTTTGAGTTAATATGGAGCAAGACTAAAATGCTCTTTATTTAAGTTAATGGGGAGCAAGACTTAAATGTTCTTTAAGTTAATGGGGAGCAAGACTTAAATGTTCTTTAAGTTAGGGGGGTTAGGACTTGGAATGTGTTCTAACAATTAAATCCAAGTTACAGGTTTTAATGTATATTTTAATAATGGAAAACAGGTTACCTGTGATACTGTTGTTATTAATGATAGAATAATATTGGATACAGGTTAATATATATTATTAGATTATTAGATACAGATATTGTGATAGGTGAAGTGATATTAGTTAAATTATAGTGTATAGTAGACTTGACACAAATTTGTTTTTGCTAAATCTTATTAAAATAAGGATGCTTACATTGCAAGTTTAAGGGATAGATATGGGATATGGATTTATCCCCTCATTATTAACATATTTTTGTATTTTTATATTTCCAGGTGATAACACCATTCCGTAACTTAGTCTTATGCTCAGATACACGTCGTGAAATGGAGGATTGGATCTCTGCTCTCAAATCAGCCGTTAATAAGGAATTTTACGAGGTAAGAATATCATAAAAGATGACACACATACCTTTCATTATTATCGTCATTGTTAATTTTCTCAGTTTCTGATTGGTCGAACAATCATCATATGACATGAAATATCCCCTGTTATTATATACCCGATATGTAACCCTAATCCTGATTGGTCAATGATGCATAGTCACGAGCCATAAATAGAATTGCTATTTCCCTTTGAAAGTTATATTCCTCTTTGAATTATTGCCAACTTATGTCACTTTTTCCCCTCAAAACGCCTGCACATCGTCACTGCTTTTGTTAGCAGTGGGAAAATATCATACATGCACATAATTAATTAGTTTCAAGCCTTTGTCACTCACTGTAAACAAAAAGAGCATTCACCATTTTCAACCCTCATCAATTTAATAATTTTATTTTATTTATTAGTATGCCGTTGTAGAGTGAAATAGTGAATAGTGAAACAGTAAATAGTGATACATGTAATATCATAATAAATAGCAAGGTGGGTCCTTATGTAGGTCAAAAGGTGAAACCTCACAAAACCCTTGCAAAAAAGTTTCTGGTTGAATTTCATTCGAGTACTATTTAGTAACACTGTGCAAAATATTTTGCAAGATGCGATAAGAAAGTATTGAGGATAATTTGATGCGCTCGTGTATTGTATCCTTTGCATTTGTTTTTTTTCCCTCATTCAAAATTTTTCTTGCAAGGCATATGTAGTTAAAATTGTCTACAATTTTTTTGAGCACTCTTATAAATCCTTTACTGTAGCGAGAAAATCGTATAAAATTAATTATTGTTTTTTTCTTACTTATTTGACACCTCACATTAGATGCTTTGCTGCTTGTCACACTCAATTTAGATGTATTATTTCTTGTCACAGGCAAACGCTCACAGAGACATGTTGTCAGGGCAACATAATTGGTATGCATGTTCTCACGCCAGACCCACATATTGTAATGTATGCAGAGAGGCCCTATCCGGGGTTACATCACATGGCTTATCATGCGAAGGTAATAACCAGTTTTTTAATAAGTCTTTATTTCGGTTTGTAATACCCAGATTTAGTCAAGATTTATTTGCAAATAAGGATAAAAGTTGTATCCAGATGTTATGTTTTTGCAAAATGAAGATTGAAAGTTGTATCCAGATGTCATGTTTTGCAAAATCACCCTATGCAGACAGAGCCTGTGGGAAATATTGGGTGCGGAGCAAATGAGCGGAGGGTGCGGAGCTAACGGTCATTTTTGAATTTAAATTTGGGATATTTCTGAAACTAAGCCGTTTTGGGACTTCAAATATACCAAGATATGTGTATTTGACACCAAATATCAATACAATTGTGAAAATAGTAGCGCAATTCATTCTATAGCGACGCAGTGTGCCTTAAACCTTTCCCAGACCTATATTTTTTGAAATTATCCTTTTAATACTGAGTCCCCAGCATTCATAAAAAATGGTGTTCAATGTACACTATCTATACAAATTATTTTTGCATCTTGGAAGCCAGGCAGTATCTGTGTGATTTTATAAAAATTCGGAATGTTTTTCAGATATTAGCCCCTCTAAATATTGGGTGCGGAGCAGCTCCATAAACGTAGCTCCGCACCCAATATTTAGAGGGGGCTCATATCTGAAGAACATTTCCGAATTTTTATAAAATCACTCAGATACTGCCTGGCTTCCAAGATGCAAAAATAATTTGCATGGGTAGTGTATCTTGAACACCATTTTTATGTCCCCACCACATAGTGTGGGGCCATATTGTCGGCCTAGGCGCGTCCGTCCATCCGTCTGTCCGTCTGTCTGTCTGTCCGTCTGTCCGTCTGTCCGTACGTCCGGCAGTTTTCTCCAAAACCGCTACAGATATCACCTTCAAATTTTCAGGGATAACTTATGAGTGCATACAGATGTGGATGAAAAAAAAATTAACTCGATACCTACTTCCTGTCGGCCATTTTGAAGTCAAATGCTAAAATCCTTGTCTGCAAACTTTAAGAAAAACTGCTTCACAGTTGCTTTTAAAACTTTAATATCTTGTTCAGCTCACTTCATTCTAGATCTGATTAGGTTTTGGACCTGTTAGCTCAGTCATGTCAGCCATTTTGAATGTTTTAAGAAAAGTTAGCGCACGATAATACTTTGTATCATATTGAATGGTGTTTTTCAGTTTTCATACTTAAACTATTTCTTAGCTTTATAAATAATTTCAGGTGTACTTTGTTGTAAAAGCCTATGTTATTGTTAACAGTAGTTATATGTGATAATTTTGTAAAAAGAAATCAGCAAAAACTCATGATCACTTTTTTATTGTCGGCCATTTTGGATTTTTCCATCCTAAAATCTTGTCTGTAAAGTCTTGTCTACGCGTTTTCAGGTCAACCGTTTGGTAGATCAATTTTAAATTTTCAGGGATGATTCTTAGTATGAAAATCTAGATCTGATTAGTTTTTGGGCATTCTGGGTAAATGTCAAGGCAGCCATTTTGGATTTTCCGTCCTAAAATTTTGTCTGTAAAGTCTTGTCTACGCATTTTCAGGTGAACCGTTTGGTAGATCAATTTCAAATTTTCAGGGATGATTCTCCATATGAAAATCTAGATCTGATTAGATTTTGGGCATTCTGGGTAAATGTCAAGGCAGCCATTTTGGATTTTCCGCCCTAAAATCTTGTCTGTAAAGTCTTGTCTACGCATTTCCAGGTGAATCGTTTGGTAGATCAATTTGAAATTTTCAGGGATGATACTCAGTATGAAAATCTAGATCTGATTAGTATTTTGGCATTCTGGATAAATGTCAAGGCAGCCATTTTGGATTTTCCGTCTTAAAATATTGCCCGTAAAGTCTTGTCTACGCGTTTTTAGGTGAACCGTTTGGTAGATCAATTTCAAATTTTCAGGGATGATTCTTAGTATGGAAATCTAGATCTGATTAGTTTTTGGGCATTCTGGATAAATGTCAAGGCAGCCATTTTGGATTTTCTGTCCTCAAATCTTGTCTGTAAAGTCTTGTTTACATGTTTTCTGGTTAACTGTGTGACGGATCAATTTCAAATTTTCAGGGGTGGTTCTTAGTATGAAAATCTAGAACTGACTAATTTTTGGGCATTCTGGGTAAATTTTAAGGCAGCCATTTTGGATTTTCCGTCCTAAAATTGTGTCGGTAAAGTCTTGTCTACTCATTTTTAGGATAACCATTTGACGGGATCACCCATAGGTGGGGACATTTTGTACACATTTGTGTTCTTGTTTATGAATGCTGGGGACGCAGTATTAAAAGGATAGTCTCAAAATATATAGGTCTGGGAAATGTTTAAGGCATACTGCGTCGCTATTAAAGGAATTGCACTACTATTTTCACAATTTTATTGGTATTTGGTGTCAAATACACATATCTTGGTATATTTGAAGTCCCAAAACGGCTTAGTTTCAGAAATATTCCAATTTTAAATTCAAAAATGACCGTTAGCTCCGCACCCTCCGCTCATTTGCGCCGCACCCAATATTTCCCACAGGCTCTGTCTGCATAGGGTGAAAATGAAGATTGAAAGTTGTATTCAGATGTCACGTTTTTGCAAAGAGGATAGAAGTCATTTCTAGATGTCTTCTTTGGGGAATTAGGATAAACCTTATTCAGATATCATGTTTTTGCTAGTGAATATCAAAATTATGTCATGATTTTGCCTAGGATAAACCTTATATCCAGATATCATGCTTTTGCCAGTGAATATCAAAATTAAATCTAGATGTTTTTTCTTTGCCCATTAAGATAAAAGATGTCATGATTTCACAAATGAGGATAAATGTAGTAGATAAATAACAAGGAATGAAGTAATATTTGAGAGGACCATTCTTGGTTTGGAGAATGAAATTCATCGGCTTACTGTACGTCTGGTATTATTCGCTAGATTTAATTTCGCGAATTTTGCGAAAACACGATTTCGTGGCTATTAAATTTTGTGAATTTCACAAGTTTGAAATTCATTACTATTCCAGGAATTCTCGAGCTACTCGTGTGTAAATTAAGTTAGATGTACAGTAATTGCACTTACCTGGTGTCATATTTGGATGAGATTTACAATAACTGGGATCTTTATCATCGGCAAGCTGCATATCAACCTCTATTGCATCGTCATTTTTGATATTAAAGCAAAAGTGCGTGCCTCCCATAATAACTTTACCGTACTTCATACTGTATTTTATCGTATTCGGGGATTCCCCAGTATATGATGTCCATTCAAATTGCAGGCTACGATCACGTGAACAATCGTGCGCACGTGCTCTTTCATTGCCGCGCATGCGCATACTAAAGTCATGGAGTTGCATAGTACTATTGAAGTACTATAACTCGATCCAAACTAGTATAGAAAACTCATAAAGCACGCGAATAATACCGGGCATACAGTATTTCGATGCTATGCAATGTGGCCAACAAACATGTTTAGAGATGGAACAAACTACTTACTACACTTTCAAGTACAATCATACATTACATGTATCTATACTATGTAAGATTTCATTTTGATTAGAGTAAATATCAATTTCGATAGTCTCCTATCTTTAATAATGATGCTGGGGGTTCGCCTTATATTTGTTTTATGAAAGAAATGAAAATATTACCATGATTGAATCTTAGATATGCAAAAGATCACATTTCAATCTACATTATGTAGAAAAATCAAAATTGTTGGTGACATTGGTAACATAGAAATAAACTTTATCCTCCAAACTGAGAACGGTCCTTCGAAATCCATACAATAAGAGTCACAATTTTAAGGATTGTTATTGATAAGAAAATGTTGCCATATTATCATAATTCACAAGTTAATAACAGTTTTATTCATAGCATACAGTATTATACATAGTATAATATTATATCATAAGATGATAATTGTTATGTTATGTATATGTACTCTGTTCGATACACACATGTAGACACATGTTATTTAAAAAGTGAAGTAAACTCGTTGGTTCTTTAAAAACATTATAGTCAACACTCAAGTATATAGAAATAATGAAAAAAAATTCAGAAATGATGAGAAATAGGACTTAATTCCAATTTTAAAAAGAAATTATACAATGAAACAAATAAATTTCATTCATTTAAGAAGGATGAATTTGAACAGGTGATATTTTGTTATTTCAGTGTGTAAGTTTAAAGCTCATAAACGTTGTGCTATTAGAGCAGGGAATTTTTGTAAGTGGACCACACTCGCTTCAGTTGGAGTTGATATTATAGAAGAAGAGGGGGTATGTATCAAAAATATTGTAAATTAATTTACATTTTTGGTGAGATAAATTCCCAAATGAATTTCATTTATTGTGCTGAAAACATTATCAAATTATTTAGTATGCAATATTTCATGATATTGAGTATCAAATTTTTTTACTCATTCAGTAGTTCCAAACATGTTTTTTATTATTCTAGACATCGAGTTTTGTATATTTTCAAACATTGATTTAAATATTTTCAGACATTGAGTATTAAATATTTTCAAACCTTGATTATCAAATATTTTCAGACATTGAGTATGCCTCATCAGTGGCTGGAGGGAAATCTACCTGTCAGTGCAAAATGCAGTGTCTGCGACAAAACTTGTGGTTCAGTTCTCCGCCACCAGGACTGGAAATGTCTCTGGTGTAAAGCTATGGTAAGAAGGCCACCAAAAGGAAGATCGCTGCCACGAATTGGTTGTCATACAGATATGAAATGATTTTCTGAAATATTTCTTGTGTCTCTTGAGATTTTAATCTAATGTCATATTACTTCAGTTTTTTTTATTAATTTTTAACTGATTTCAGTTGTTATATGGGCTCAGTGTCCGCCATAAAGCAAACAGTAAAGTTGTCAATACTCGAAATTGAATAAAAATGTTAGAAAGTCAGAAACTTCAATCAAAATGTGGAGAAAATTCCATGAAAATGAATTGCAGACAACAATTATTTTTGTTTTTCTAGGCACACTCACAATGCAAGGAACTCTTCAGTAAAAAGTGCCCCCTCGGACAATGCAAAGTATCTATACTGCCACCTATATGTGTGAATAACACTGACTGCGATGGCTATTTTGAAGCGTCAAAAAATACTCGTCATAGCCCCCTATTGGTGTTTGTAAACTCTAAAAGTGGAGATAATCAGGTTTGATTCATTAATTTTTGAATTTTGAACATTATGTGAAGTTTTGATTGTAACTGTAAATTTTGTTATGTTGGCTCACGTGTATCATTTTTATTTTGATTCCCAACCCATTTTCGTGAGCAATACCTCATTGAAATTCCCATGTTTTTCATATTTATCACTTGAAGCCAGAAACTCCTCATTGGAGGAGCCCTTTATGTGTTCTTTTATGTGCACCAATACACACTACAGACAAAAGCTGACAATTCAGTGAAACATCCTGAATTACATAATGCACGAACATTTATTTTATCTGAACTGGGAATCAAACTCAGGGATAAAATAATATTCAATATTCAACTAATTTGTTATAAATTCAGTTAAAGATAATATTTTCTATTTTCAGGGAGTCAAAATGTTACGGAAGTTTAAGCAGATCTTGAACCCAGCACAAGTGTTTGACTTGATAAACGGCGGTCCTAAGGCAGGGTAAGGAGGCATTTTTTCAAGATTTCAGACTGTGTCCTGTTTTAAAATGTGAAATTAGGTAAAAAAGAGAAAATACACCTCTTTCGATTTTGGTCTTTCCCATTGGCACTTGGGGATATGTAGTTAATTTGATTAAAGTGGAAATTTTTGTCTGATTTTGTATATCAAAGAATAAAGACAACAAATTTTTTGGACAAAACTATTCCTGAATCAACTGATAATAAACAGTTTCTCCATGACTATCATTGTAACACAATAGTTACTATGGTGACATCACATATAATAGGTATATGGGGGAATTATAATTGCGCATTGGCTTATATCATAAGAAGAAAAACATGTAATAACCAATACAACTGGTAATTGCCATTCAATGTAAGAGATACTAATAATACAGTAATGGCACCTGTATGAGTGTACATGAATATATTCATTTGTGTATTCTTCTTGCAAAAATTCATCATCACTATTTTAAAATTCACCTCATCTGCTCTAATTTTTTAAGGAAAACATGTTTACTTTGTTATTCAAGTAAAGTGAATTGTGACTTATGAAACAATATCCATTATGAAATCGTAGTGTAATTTTTTCAAGGTCTCCATCTTTCAGGTGTCCATTACCAAATGATTGTGTAATTTCTTTCAAGGTCTCTTGATGAGATGTAATTAAGTTGTGATGTAAGAAACATGTTCTTCATGAAATTGTTAGTACAATAACGTCATTTCTAAGGGCGATATAGTGAAATTTCGGCCCTCGGTCCAATATTTCACTATATTGCTCGCAGAAATGACGTTATTAGTATTATTACCACCGTTAACGACCAGGACTGAAACAGCAAGAAAATCTTACGCATTGAACTATATCTAATTTCCCGGGGAAAATTGCCGGTCCAGAATATATTCTAGACCGGTCCATATGGACCACCACTATGACGTCACACATTTCTCAGGTCGATATAGTAAAATAAACGCCTTCTAAACTAGCACTAAAACCCCTAGAACTGGCCCGGCAATGTGGTAATAATGTGTAATATCTTTCAAGGTCTCTTGTTGCGATATAAGTAGGCGTAAATATCAGATAAATATGAATCTGTCGATTCTTCATTACTTCCGTCTCTGGTAGAATATTCCTTTCTGTTCATGCAACTTTTCTTTATTGGAGCATTTGAATGAAGTTTTTTTTATTAGATTTTTGCATTTCTATACAATTGAGAATGGGTAGTTTTTATTCTGTTGTTGTTTTATTTCCTGCTTTATTTATTCTAATTCTGTCATGACAATCATTTTAATAATTGGATATCTAATTTTTTTCTTCCTAGAAGATAATAATGATTGTAAATATTGGCATGATTTTTCTGTATTGGTTTAAATTATTGACCAATCCAGAATCTTTTTCAGGGAATGACCATTTGTAAGAGCTAATTAAGTTCTTTACTCTTGAAAATCATGAATTTTAAATTTTCAGGTTGAGTCTACTTCAAAGATTTGACCATTTAAGAATCTTTTACAGTGAATGACCATTTGTAAAATTTAATTCAGTTCTTTACTCTTAAAAATCATGAATCTTATATTTTCAAGTTGAGACTTTTTCAAAGATTTGACCAATTCAGAATATTTTTCAGTGGGTGACCATTTGTAAGTTCATTGAAAACCATATGAATCTTATATTTTCAGGTTGAGACTATTTCAAAGATTTGATCAATTCAGAATCTTAGTGTGCGGAGGAGATGGTTCAATAGGATGGGTCTTATCAGAAATAGACAAAGCAGGCATGCATAATAAGGTTGGTCATGTTAATTTCGTGAAAAGAGTGGAATATAGAGGAATAAGAGAGACAAATCATTCGAAGATGTAAAAGAAATAAAAAAAGTTTTGTCATTTAAATTTCATCAATAGAAAAAATGAGACATTGATCTCATAGGACAAAATGATTATGAAATGCAAGAAAAAGACAGATCTGTCAGTTAATAAGTAGACAGCCTTTTTAGGAGTAATTGGACAAACAGCTTTTAATAGACAATACTTAGGATTCGAACTCTACAATGTAGACTTAATTTGAGCCTGCAATCCAACAATTGGCCCTAGTACCAAATGCACATGATGAGTTTATTCAAAGTAGAGTTGGGCACTCGAGTGAATAAATAAATACAATTCAAAAAGACATAAAAAGATAAATAGTTTCCTATTCATATTCAAGTTTCATATTTGTATTATAATATCATCTTTTTATTGTAGTGTCAGGTTGGTTTACTACCTCTGGGGACGGGGAATGACCTCGCAAGGGTACTAGGGTGGGGCGCCGCTTTTGATGATGACACTCAAATCCCTACAGTACTTGAAAAACTAGAACACGCACAAATCAAAATGTTGGACAGGTAAATGTGAAATGAAATCACAATTTATGTAATATTTCTTTTGCTTGTATGTTGATTTCATTATTGGGTGTAAAAACATTATTTTAGATATTATAGGAATGTTTTATGAAACGAATCTAAATGTTTTTCGTTTTGAGGAAAGTGGAATATTTTCTCAAGATTTAATGGAATTTTCCCCTTAGAATTTTCACTGCAACGGAATTTTCCATTATGTTTTGTTCTAAATAGATGGAGCATCATGTCCTATGAGGGTCCAAAACTGGCTGGTCCACGGAAGATTTCTCAACAGTTTGATGATCCAATCACAATGTATGAGGATTCGGTCGGTGCTCACTTAACCAAAATCCTCCAATCAGATGACAGTGCCACTGTGATATCTTCAGCGAAGGTTTTATGCGAGACTATAAAAAGTTTTGTAGAAAAAGTTGCATTAAATAAGAATGAGGAAGATACAGAAGATGAGGGGGATGAGACTATATCAGAAAAAGTACATATTTTCATAATTTTTACATACTCTTCATTTCATTCAATCATTTTATATGTTTTCATGTACAATTAATTTGTATATTGGTGAACTTAACTTAAGAAGGAAAGAAGCATAGAAATAAAAATAATAAAGAAGTAATAAACATTAAATCAACACTTAAAGGCCCTGTGTAAAGTTTCATGTTTTTTCATCATTTGTCAACTATTTGCCATGACTAAAGAATTTGTTTTATACATTTAAGTTGGCATTGTAAATTTGAATACAGGCACCTTGTAATACTATATTTTATATGAGATATTTAATTACTATTTTCAGTGCGCAGTGTTAAATCAGAAATTGAGCATGTTGCTGCAGACATTAGATGCAGAATCAGAAATTGCCTCTGTGGCTAAACAGGTAAGATGTTTGCAATGGAATTTTCCAGTCATTTAAAGGTTACCCACTTCCATCTGGAATTTTCCACTGCGGCGTTTGTTTTTATCTAGAATGCATAGTGAAATATTTTAAACAAGTCATTAGCCATTTCCCCACGAAAAATTATACTATAACATATATCGAGTATTATATCAATGTATTTTTACTTTTTATTATTCAGTTAGCTGCTGAAGTATCCAGTAAACGACACAAAGAGGAGGAAAATCATGAATTACAGCTAGAAACTTTACAAAATATTCCTCATGTGCAAATAATAATCCCTGATATTACCCATGAATCTCATGATGATGCAGTATTACCTATAGAGCCAGTTGCAATCACATCTACCACATCTACTTCCTTGCAAGTAGATGACACTCAGTCTAGTCTCCTTATTGAAGTGCCTTCTTCAATGGAAAATTCCGTTGAAGTGGATATGGAAAATTCCTCTGGAGTGGAAAATTCCCAAGGAGTGGAAAGTTCCACTGAAGCGGAAAGTTCCATTGAAGTGGAAAAATCCCATGAAGTGGAAATTTCCACAGAAAATGATAAAACAGACTTCACAGACATTGACAATGAATACTCTACCCATGACAACACACTTACTGGAAAAGAAAACAGAAATTGTGAAGAAAAGGAAAAAGACGAGGGAGTGAGCTTTGATCTCGAGGAAGTTGAAAATGACAATATGGGACCATGTCCTTCAAAATCAAAATCGGCAAGGAATTTCCACTCCAGAGAAAAGTTGATGTCTCGAGCTAATAGCTTGAAAAAAGCTGTACGCCATATCATTGAACACACAGAAAAGGGTATGGTATTTGTCAATTTTCTCAGAAAGTTTTTTGTTATCCAAATGAACATGTTTGGCGCACATTATAACATGAACCTAGTCAGATCAGTTTTTCACTATGCTTTATGAGATGATTTCCTCTGCATTTGAGCACACATTATTGCATTGCCCCTCTCAAATGTGTATCCTCTTGAAATAAGAAAAATCCTGAAAACTATTACTTTTTATCAGCTTTTTCATAAAAGTTAAAAATGATTAAAATCACTCTGACTTCAAGAAATACTGCTTTGTAAGCATGATGTTCAGAGCTATTAGGTAACAGACAAATTCAACAACTATTTTTAAGTTTTAATCTGTTATACTTTGTTTGTAGCTGTTGATGACCAAAATGAGCAAACTCAGCAGATGCAACAACTGGGAGATCTTATGGTGCCTAGCAAGTAATAAATTATTTTTGATCATTTTATGATTTGAATGTTTGGTTTCACTGCAGTTAAGAGTTTATCCATATATTTAAAAGATTGTGTGATGATATCAGTGCATGCAACTATTAGATGTTTACTCAATTATTTGTCTTTAAATTGGAAATTTGGCTATTTGTTTCTAGATCCCCATCGTTGTCAAGACAACCACCAATTACAAATTGTTTTACTATTTCTAGATCTCCAACATTGTCAAGGCGACCACCGGTGTCATCGAGTTCAACCAAGAACTACCTTACTGTTCCTGGTGCTTGTCCTGGGTCCACATCCCCCGGTTTCCCACGTTCCCCTCGACTCAAGAAGGGTAAGTTGACTTTGATTTTAATTTGTCTCATAAATTGTCTGGTCAAAAGATTTATTGGGCAGTTTGTACTGCAGACCTCTAGCCAGCTTTAGCCAAGTGGGGGAGGGTTGGTTTTAATAAATTCCAGGGGTTTCATTTTAGCCTAAAATTATTTGGAAAGTGCTCTAAATGGTGAAAAATTGTATGATTTTGAAAGAGCCTCCCCCTGGCTTCAGGTCTCAGTACTTAATGATTTACATGTAAAATAGTTTAAGATATTTGATGAGCTATTATTATTAAATATGTTTTAAGATTAGATATTTACAAAAGGGAAAGATTATTTAAAGAACTTGGAAATTGGTGAAAATGTTATCTCTCTGGTATGACATAAATTAGATTAAAGTATATTTTATTTCATATTTGATTATTTGATTTATAGATCAGTAGATTGTAGCTTCACTCAATATATAAATATGGTCATATTTCAAATCATAATAATGTACTTCCTCATGCTTGATCTTTAGTTTTTTTTATTTTTTGTTCAAATATATGTTTTTCTCTTTTGCCCTATTTTATATATGTATTTTTGCCTTATTTTATATATATATATTTGCATGGTTTTTAATGTATGATCTAATTTTAAAATGCTGTGAAAGTCATGTGACCAAGATGGAAAGCAGTATATGAATATTGTGTTCAGACAAGTTTGCCCCATCTTTTCCTGTTGCACATGAAAAGTGTAACACCATCATCATCTTTTGCTCTTAGGTGCATGCTGGTGTCATGGGAAATCTTGTCAATGAGATAAGATTTCTCACAGAGTAAATGTGAAAATGTAAATGTGAAAAATCATCATCTAATGCTCTTAGGTGCATGCTGGTGTCATGGGAAATCTTGTCAATGAGATAAGATTTCTCACAGAGTAAATGTGAAAAATCATCATCTAATGCTCTTAGGTGCATGCTGGTGTCATGGGAAATCACAAATGTGAAAAATCTTCATTTAGAGGAAATTTGTCTTCCATTTATTCTTTCCCTGCAATTAGCGACCTGATGGTGAAACAAGTAATTAGAGAGCTGGGAAATGGGTAATCAATTATACTGGCATACACTGACAAAAAAGCTGTAGTTACCTCTCAATAAATTAAAACCATCTGGATATGTATGAACAAAATGCAAAAGGTGAAATACCCAATTAAAGAGTATTATAACATAATGCAGGCAGAAATAAAACATCTTTGAGCACAGCTACTCATAAGCCCACTCATAAGGAAGGAAATAAACCCCATAATTCCCAAAAGCACAAAGAAACAATGTCCAACATCCTCTCCCGTCAGAATCACAAGACTATTGGACACTCATTTTATTCAAGTGTACTTAATTTTATAATTGATCAATCCAGAGTTAGGCCTGATAAAATATGGGATCTCTTTAACAGTATTACTTTTGATAACTGATTTTCCTTGATAATTTAAGCATTATTGACTTAAAACATTGTACTCGTCTATTTTGATATCTTTAGTCTGCAAATATGATTAATGTGTAGCTGTTTTTTATTTAATGAATATATTAAAAAATATATGGGATCATCAGTTTATTCAGCACCATGAATTTTGTACTTCGTTTTACGTATCATTCATTTACGTATCATAAAAACTACATCATCCACAAATCAATTATGAATTAAATCTATCCACATTTTTAATTCACAAATATTTTCACAAAAATCAATTTGCATCATATTCACAGATTTTAGTTATTCATAATTTCTGTTTTTACTTCACTCATAAATTGCATGTTTGATTGATTGGTGTTTATTTCACTTTTACTAATAATTTAAAATGTGAATATTCACTGTAATGCTTCTAATCTAAATATGTTATTTTATATTTTTGTTTGATTAATTGATTATTAATTGATTGAGGTATTGATTAATTACTATAATCAATTAATTCACTAATTTCTGTGTGCTTTAGTTATTTTCACAATTTTTAAAAGAAATTAAAATGAATCAGTAAATTATCAACCAATCACATTTTAGCAATGAAATCTCCCATAATCCCACGGGGTCCAAGCAGACGGATTAGTAGTATGGCTTCCAGGGATAAAAGTCCCAGTAGTCGAGGTTCACAGGATGTTAGTCCTTCAATGCCTATTCTAGGTGTACCTTTTGCAGGTAAACAATTTGCAGAATTCAGAAAACAAACTTTTCGCAGAATTTGTAGAGCTAATTTGTCGAGCGAGGATTGAGATTAGTAAAAAAATAGTTGCTATGCGCAATCCAATCCAAAATTAAAATGGATGTCCCAGATATTCTGTTCAATCATCAAATTATGAAATCTCCCACAATACCACAGAATATAAATAACTGGCTAGTTGTATGTACTTGTAATTTTAACCAATCAGCTGTAGCTGATATATCCCATAATGCCACATTGTCATGGCAGACGTATATGTTATGTTATAAAATGTATTTTCAAAATATCTCATAATCCAACAGCTAAGTCCCCAAATGGAACGCAATGACACCATTTATACTGTAAAGGTTCGTATTTGCAAAATTTAAAATGAAATCTCCTACCACTGTGACTGACTGTCATAGCAAATGTATAAATATAAGTAACTGATTGGCATTTGGTTTTTTAAGTACAAGATCATGTGACAAAAGAAATTTTGTCTTATTAATTTTACTCAGGATAAAACTTTATATTTAGCTCATCTATGAGTGTCATTATTGAAAAGTTAGAAGTTATCCCAAGTAACCAGACATAGTGCAAACTGATGTCTATTAAAAACATAAATATTTTTGTTATTTGATTGATGGGGTTAATAGTACAATAACGTCACTTCTAAGGGCAATATAGTGAAATATTGGACCGAGGGCCGAAGGCCCAAGGTCCAATATTTCACTATATTGCTCGCAGAAATGACGTTATTAGTATTATTACCACCGTTAACGACCAGGACTGAAGCAGCAAGAAAATCTTACGCATTGAATGATATCTAATTTCCCGGGGAAAATTGCCGGTCCAGAATATATTCTAGACCGGTCCATATGGACCACCACTATTAGGCGAGTAGGCCAAGCCTTAAAAGTCCATAAATAAAGGAGTTTAATAGTCGGCTGACCCTATGGGATATTTTGGTATCGTTGGAAAGCTGAGATATTGACGTGTAATATGTGATAGATAACTACTTTGAAAATAGGTGACGTTACCATGGAAACGGGCATTGAACAATAGTTATACTTAATAAGAACTAAATACTCATTTCAGGTTTATGTGCACCAAATGATAAAAATATTCTCCTTTTTAATGCGTAAATGGTGAGAATTCAATAGAGATTGGTAAATCTTGAACATTTGTGACTAAATTTGTAGTATAAAACAGTTCTAATTTACATTGTGACATCACAATTGTGAAATTCAAATAGAAAACTGTTTATTTCATTTGATCTCCTTTAATCCAATTCATCGTGTAATTATAATTTAGTTAAAATATCACCTTCATGTATATCAAATGAAAGCTGCTTTTCTTACAAATACGTTGGTATACGAAACAAAAGGATTGGACAATCACCCACTGAGATATAGCATATTTTGCTCTGATGAAGCAATGGCCAGGACTACTGAAATCTACTATAATTGCACAGGTTTAGTACACAGTTTGTGAATTTCAATACCAAAACACATATTAATTGTCTTATAACTTAAAATATCTTTGGCCCTTCGGATTAGTTTTGGTTTCATTTCAATAAAGAGGTATATATCTAAAATGTATGATATTGACTCATTTAAAAAGCATGTATTGTTACCATGGAAACAGATGTTGAATAGGAGATTTCATTATTAAGAATAATGCATTTATATTCATTATTAGTTGGTGATCTAGTGAAATACTGTGAATACAAATGAAGTGATCCTATGTGGATCCTATGGATAAAATTGGTATGTTCGAACAGTTACCACTTTGTTCTTGTAGACATAGGGATAGATTTGGATTATAACTGAAATGGGGTTTGTTGCTATGGAAACGCTTGTCAAACAATATATGTCCGTGATATGAGTAAAATATATAAAACAATTTGTTCGCATAGTTAACATTATGAATGTGTATTCTTTCAGTGCCTAATGTGAGAATATTGGTGGATTTGATTTATATTTACCATTAGTGGCTAGTTAAGTTCAGTAAATTGAAGTGTATATATGTTATATGATGTCACAATGGTGAATTTTGATTAAGATAATTGAAAATCAAAATCAATTACCGCAATTCATTGTGAAATTTCAATTTTATTGGAATGTGACCGTGTTATATATCATATTAAAGCTACTGGTCTATTGATTTCAGTGTTATATAAAAGTAATATGATCAGTTTGATATATGTGGATGTAACCCTTATTTCTTTCTGGTGTATCAGTACTGGCTACAATGGCTAAATTGACCTGCTTTAGCACAAACAGATTCACGAACAAAATGTTTGTTAATACTGAATTATTTAAACTATTGATAAGAATGTGCAGAAAACTATTATTTGAATATTCTCTGCATGTAGATCAAATGAAAACTTATTTTTTCAGAAAAAAACATCCATATATTTTATTTTGCAATAACCTTTTTGTGACTCATGTCACGGCCACTAGATATGGTCAATGGTTCACAACTGTATTTGAAATCATGATTGTCTAATCTGACATATACTGGCATTCAGCGCATTGCCCAAAATGGAACTTGTTTTGCCAAAGTTATTACCATTTGCCAGAAAAATAAATTGTTGTAAAATCTTTAGATCTTCCTGAAATAAAGTATACACTCTGGCAATTTTAGAAAATAGACACTACAAGGAATGATATAAAAAAAATTCTAAAATAGAAACAATTTTTGCTAAGCTTACTCGCTAGATCTGATTGGCCAAAGAAATTATAATATTCGTATGCTATCACAATCATCAATTACCTATGTATTCCATAATATTTTTTATTTTATTTATTTTCATGTTTTTTATGTCATCGCCCGATGATAG